CTATATCTATCTTTGTGTGCACCCGCGTGTTTTTATATGTATTTGTGTGTGTTTGCGTGGTATATCTGACTTCATGCGTGCCCATATGTGTCTATACGTGTGTACATCGTGTGTGTGATTGAGAGAATGTGTGACTATGTGAGTGAGTGAGAATGTGTGTGTGTGTGTATGTGTGTGTGTATCTGTGTGCGCCTGTATGTGTGTGTGTGTGCATGTGTGTGCATGTGTATGTGCGCGTGTGTGCATCCTATATCCATCCATCTCCTCGCATAATGTGCATCTGCACGTGTCTGTATCCCCGTCTCTCTCTCCACGTGGAAGTGACGTCATCTTACCACATGTTCCATCTTCGACTGCTTAAGCTTCTCCTCGTAAGTTTTCTTCATGTCCATCATCTCCTTTTCGTTCTCCAGCATCCTCGCCTTCATCTCCTCCTCCCATTTCTTCTTCAGCTTCTCGGCATCTGGAGGAGTGGGCGTATGGAAGATAAGAAAAGCAAAATAAGAAAAAAGGAAAGGAAAGTGGAGAAGAGGAACAAGAAAAAAATGAGAATTTGCTTTTATTTTTTATCTATTTATCTATTTTTTATTAAACAAAAAAGGGGAAAATACGATCATAATTACCATTGATATTATGGCTTCCCCTTAACCATGAATTACCATAATTCCTTTCTGCCATGAATACCATAAGAAAAATAAAAATCACTTCCATGATAAATTTCACAAATATCACAAGACAACACCATCACAACTCACCTCGACCATCACCATCAACACCACCATTAACTCACCATCAGCATCATTAACTCACCTCGGTCATCACCACCATTAACTTACCTTGACCATCACCATCATTAACTCACCTCGGTCATCACCACCATTAACTTACCTTGACCATCACCATCAGCACCGTTAACTCACTAACACCACCACCACTAATTCATCACCACAATGAACTCACCTCTATCACCAACACCAACACCACCACCATTAACTCACTACCACCATCAGCACCATGAACTCACCTCGATCACTAACACCATCGCCATCATCACCAACATGAACTCATCACCACCACTAACTCACCACCATTTACTCACCACCACCACCACTAACTCATCAACACCATCTCCACCACTAACTCATCGGAACCACGAACTCACCTCGATCATCAACCCCATCGCCATCTTCATCAATGAGGTCCATGTCGATCTTTCCTCCCGACATCATCTTCTTCAGTTTCTCGTTCTCCTCCTTCAGTTCCCTCAGAAGTTTCTCCGTCGGGTCTTCGTTCACCGTGGCCTTCGTCTTGATCTGCTTCGCTCGGTCGGCTGTGAGAGGGAGGTTGTGGGGGGGAAAAGGAAAGTTGTGGTGAGGTTGTTTTGAGGTTGGGTTGGTGTGTGGGGGGGGTTGTTGGGGAAGGGGAGTTGTGGTGAGGTTGTTGGGGAAGGGGAATTTTGGGATGGGGTTGGGCTGGGTTGGTTGGTGTGGGGTTGTTGGGAAAGAAGGTTGTAGGGAAAGGAAGTTTTGGTGAGGTTGTTGAGATATGGTGGTTGTAGGGAAATGAAGTTGGGGTGAGGTTGTAGGGAAAGGAAGTTGTGGGGTTGGTGTGTGGGGTTGTAGGGAAAAGAAGTTGTGATGAAGTTTTTGAGGTATGGGAGTTATGGGAAAAGAAGTTGTGGTGAGGTTGTTGAGATGTGGTTGTGGGGAAGGGAAGTTGTGATGAGGTTGTAGGGAAAGGAAGTTGTGGGGTTGGGTTGGTGTGTGGGGTTGTTGGGAGTAGAAGTTGTCATGAGGTTGTAGGGAAGTTGTGATGAAATTGTTGAGATATTGATCCAGGTGTGGTTGTGAGAAAAGAAGTGACGAGGTTGTAGTGAGCGTGTGTGGTTGTGGAGAAATGAAGTAATAAGGTTGTAGGGAAAGGAAGTTGTGATGAGCTTGGGGTGAGGTTGGTGTGAGGTTGTGAGAGATAGTGAAGCCTGAAGGAGGTTGTAGCGAGACGTCCGATATATATTTTTTTTTCTATTACTCTGTATTTCATCACTTAAGACACTATCTTATTACCTTTAAGGCATAAATTGTAAAATAAAATAAAAATACTATAAGCCCATTTTATAATTACAGAATTATATTCTCATCAGAAAATACTGAGTTAAGGACTTGTAGTTTTTTGTTAATTTAATGTAATGTTATTATCACGTTGTTATCTTTTTATTGTAGTTGTTATAATTTCACTGTTTCATTCTCTCTAATTTCTTGATATTAATGTTTAGTTATTCTTGTTCTTCCCTAATTCTTTCTCATACAAGCTATTGTTATCATTTCTTAATTTTTTATTTAAATATTCTACTCTTTACTATTATACTATCGTCATCACTTTTTTTTTCTATCATCGTTGTCGTACGCATTCCGCCCCAACTGACCGTATCTGAGGGTCGAGAGCGTTTCCTCGTAGTTGATATCAGCTGGCGAGACTGCAGCTATCATGATCGTCTTGCTGTTGCCTCCCAGGGCGTTCATGAGCAGCTTCGTCAGTTTGGAGTCTCGGAACGGAACGCGAGTCTGTGAATGAGGTTTTTTTCGTTAGTTGGAATGTTTTTTTGTTTTGTTTTTTGAGGGGGTGGGGGTGTGGTGGGGTGGGGGGGGAGGGGATTTCTATGGGGGGATGGCATGGAAGAGGATGGGATTTAGTTTTTATTCTCTTTCTCTTTCTCTTTCTCTGTCTCTCTGTCTTTCTTTCTTTCTGTCTTCCTTTTCCTTTTTTTTTAATAATCTGCTTTGTCTGTTATTATGGAAATGGAATGATAATAATATGGATTTTAACTGTGTATTACAAGACGGAATCATGATTTTGTTGTGCATAGCTAAATGAGGGAATTTAATCCAGCTTTATATTTAGTGAGCGGAAGATATTTAATTAGATAAAGAAAGAGATACAATCTGCTTATATACAGCATTTCAAGGAGGAAAAAAATATAATCTTTGTATTCATCGGATATAATATGCTAAAGACAATACTGTCTTAGAGACATAATTATATTGCAAATAAAGAAAATGCAGATGGGTTTTCGAAATCATAGCATTAGAAACGTGACTTTTATCATTACGAAATATATTTCAAATAAAATCACCAAACACCATTAATAAAAAAACACCAAAACACGGTAAAAAAAAATAATTCTTTCATTCCTCTTTTTCCTTCCTTTTCATTTCCTCCTCCCCCCTTTCTATCTATCTTTTTTCCTCTCTCTATTTCCCCATCTGTTTCATCCCTTCCTCTTACCGGTTTTCCCGACGCGTTTTCCGCCAGGGCGTGGATGCAGTTGCCCAAACATGTCAGAGACAAGTTGATGCCAGCTCCTTCCTTCAGCCTCTCTCCCGTGGCGCCTGTGCTGTCCACACGCTCGCTAAAGGAAAAAAGGGAGATTCTGGAGATTCATAGTTTTCGTAAGTGTGTTGGCGAATGTATCCACGGCGAAAAGGTACGTTGAGAGATTACTGGGTCAGCTTAAGGGATGAAATATCTCTCTTTGTCTCTGTCTATCCGTTTATTTGTCTCTCTGGATGTCTGTCTGTCTGTCTGTCTATCTATCTATGTCTCTATCTCAAAGTATCTATCTATCTATCTATTTATATATACGTATCTATCTATCTAATCTATCTATCCTATCTATCTATCTGTCTACCTCTATCTATATCTGTCTATCGATCTGTCTGTCCGTCTACCTTCCAGCCCTCTCTCTATTAACTTCCCTTTAAATCGACAAAAATTTATAACGTTCCTTCTTGTCATCTACTGCTCGGCTCTTGTCACCCTGTTTTTATTTAAGTACTGAAGTATGTAAGTGTTTAAGTATTTATTGGATCTGCATATACCTCTCTCTCTCTCTCTCTCTCTCTCTCTCTCTCTCTCTCTCTCTCTCTCTCTCTCTCTCTCTCTCTCTCTCTCTCTCTCTCTCTCTCTCTCTCTCTCTCTCTCTCTCTCTCTCGCTCTCTCTTTCTCTCTCTCTCTCTCTCTCACTCTCTCTCTTCCCCTCTCCCTCGCTCTCTCTCTTTATCTCTCTCTCTCTCTCTCTCTCTCTCTCTCTCTCTTTCTCTCTCTCTCTCTTTCTCTCACCTCCCCGCCAGATCGACGAGGTTCACCACCGCCTTCTTGGCTGTCTCCTGCCCAGCCTCGTTCTTGAATTTCTGAGTGAACTCGATGCCGACGATGGTGTGAGCTCGGGAGGAAGTGGCGTTCATGTTCGTGGAGGCGATAGTGCGGTTTACAGTGCCCTCGTTCATCTTCTGTTCAATCTCCTGGTAGTTGGAGACCATCGCCATCTTCAGGCCCTCGGCTGGGGGGAGGGGGGAGGGGAAGAGAGAGGGGGGGAGGTGGTTAGAAGAGGTGGTTTGAAGATATGAATAATTATTGAAGTCTGACTACTTTTTTTTTAATCTCTACTTTGGGTTATAGGCTAATAGATAGTTTCTTTAGTCCATTGCCGAGGGCATGACACGAACATCCATGCCATGCCCACTGTGAGTTTACTGGTTTAATTGTTTTCACATATAGATAGTTACACTTTTACTAAGGTACCAATTAGCCAATTTCGAGTACTGCCTGTCTCGCCTGTTTACCCTTTTCTTTGATTTACGAAAATATTTTACGTTATTTTATTTTGCTGTTACGTTATAGTAATTATAATGTCTATGATGAAAATAACGCAATCGATATTTATGGCACTAGTAAAAAATACGTTTTTTTCCGCCAATTTAAGGAAAGGTGAAATCAGGTAAGGCTAAGCACTAGCAGAGCCATCTATGTTCAGAGGCATTTCACAAAGTAGAAAAAAATGAGCAGAACACTTTCCCCATTTTCTATTCATTTTTCCCATTTTCTATTTATTTTTTCCAATTTTCTATTCATTTCCCCATTTTCTATTCATTTCCCCATTTTCTATTTATTTTTCCCCATTTTCTATTCATTTTCCCCATTTTCTATTCATTTTTCCCCATTTTCTATTCATTTTTCCCCGGCGGCAGTGGGTTAAACACCTTGGTTGTGTTTCTTTCGCCGTCCCTTTCCCTCCCATTCCCTTCCGCTCCATACGTCCTACTCAAATCTCCTAAAAAATAATAATAATAAAAAATAAAGCAAAAACTCACCATAGAAGCCCTTCTTCGGGTGCTGCCTGACCTTGAGTCCTTGCTTCTTCTTGCTGGGGTTGAGGAGGTCTCGCACAACCTCATTGTAAATCTCCAGCATACTGAACCGAACCTCAAATTCCTTGGTTCCCTTCTGCTCGCTGATGCCCTGGAATAATTTCTCGCAGAACATCGGGACGACGCCTGTGAGGGGGGGTAGGGAGGGAGGTTAGGGAGATATGTGGTTATTTAGGGATATTTGTATGGGTGTGAGGGGTGAGGGGTGGGGTATGGGGGGGTTGAGTGTGGGTGGGGAGGTTGTTTGTGTATGTGGGGATTGTGTGTGTGTGTTTGTTGTGTGTTTGTTGTGTTTGTGTGTGTGTGTGTGCTTGTGTTTGTTTATTATGTGTGTGTGTGTTATAATGCATTTAATACAATAGATAACCATATCGCACTATATTGAATTGCATCTCAGATTATAAGCATCTACAGTTACCTTTGTTGGCCCCATAGCCGATGACAGACCAAGATTTCCCCGAGCCTGTCTGGCCATAGGCAAAGAGCGTCGAGTTGTAGCCGTCCCACGCATTCTTGAGTATCCCCCCACCGAGGTCGTCGAACACCGTTTTCTGTGACGTGGAAATAACAGTTAGTGACAGAAAACGGGACTTACTTTGCGTAATAATAATGATAATTAGCATCGAGAACCGTATTACCAGTAACTATAATAATAAATAACAATGGCAGTAATGACAATAAAATAACACCTGTCCAACTCCACCGCTGCAGTTCTTCACCATGATAAGTGGTTTAATCATTAATAACAGTAATACAAGTAACAATAACACCATTACCTTGTCCCCGCCCTCAAGTACCACACTAACACTTCGCCCTTAAGCAACCCTACCCTTGCCCTACCACCTCACCCTCAAGCACCCTACCCTCCACTACCACCTCACCCTCAAGCACCCTACTCTCCTACCACCTCACCCTCAAGCAACCCTCCCCTTGCCCCTACCACCTCACCCTCCAACCTTACCCCCTCTACCACCTCACCCTCAAGCACCCTACCCCCCCAACCACCTCGCCCTTAAGCAACCCTCCCCTTGCCCCTACCACCTCGCCCTCAAGCCCCCTACCCCCTACCACCTCGCCCTCAAGCCCCCTACCCCCCTACCACCTCACCCTCAAGCACCCTACCCCCTCCCCTACCACTTCACCCTCAAGCCCCCCCCCCTGCCCCTACCACCTCACCTTCAAGCCCCCTACCCCCACCCCTACCACCTCACCCTCCAACCTTACCTGATCGCAGTACTTGGACCCCGCGCTCTCCTTGGCAAAGTACCCGTCGGGCATCTCCTTACTCCCGTCGAAACTCCAGTACGAGAAGTCATACGTGAAGGCCTTGACATCAGCGTCGTCGTCGGGATTGAGGAGCTTCGTCACCTTCCCGTTCATCTGGATTATGTTCTTGGCTTTGCGTCCCTTCTCGCGTTTGTTGTGCGGAGGGAGTTAAGGAAGAAAATAGAAGTAGGGGGGTGGGGGGGATTGGTTGATGTGGGGGGGGTTTGGGGGGGGGGGTGTTGGGTAGGATGGGGAGGGGGGAGGGGGGGTTATGGGGAGGTGGAGGGATTGTTGGGTTTTATGGGGAGGTGGGGGTGATGGTTGGGTCATGGGGGGAGGAGGGGGGTGAAAGTTGGGTCAGGGGGAGGGAGGGAGGGGGGTGAAGGTTGGGTTGTATGGGGAAGGGGGGGAGGAGTTATGGAGTGAGGGGAGGAGGTTAGGCCATCGGGTGTTTGAAGGTTGAATTATGGAATGGTTGATGCCTGGAAGGGGGGAGGGGGTGAAGGGAGGGTCATGAAAAGGTGGTAGATGATGGATGACACACGTACTCCCTTACAAACACACAAACACACGCAAAGGAGCATGAAAAAAAATGCATTCAATATTGCACGATGAGATGTAGATAAAGAGACAGACATACGCAACAGTCTATTCCTGTATTTATGCCGTGAGAATAACTGAATTCCCCGGATGGAATGATAAGATAAGGGAAGTGGGGGTGGGGAGGAGGGAGGGGTGGGGAGGAGGAAAGGGGTGGCGCGGGGGGGGGGGCAGGGGGAGTTAGGGATGGGTAAATGTAATGGATTTTATGTTTTGTTTTTAGGTTTTCTTTGTCCCCAGTTCATGGTTGAGAAAGGGAAGGATAATGATAATCTTTCTATTTCTGTCTTCCCTTTTCTCTCTCCTTTTCTCTCTCTCTCTCTCTCTTTCTTTCGTTCTCTGTCTGTCTCTCTCTATCTTTCTATATATTCATCTATGTATCTATCTATGTGTCTATCTGTCTATCTATCCTTCTCTCTCCCTCTCTCTC